TTGGTTTGGTGTAGAAGGCTTCCAGCCGTACATGTTTGAGCCCTTGCCTCGCAACGCTGCCAGTTCTGTTAGCTCTACGCCTGCTGAAGACACAGACGTCCATCCCCGTGAACACTGGGACGCAACTCAATGGGAAAGGAAATTATTCTTATTTTAATCGTTGCGTATTTTAGCTGAGACATATGAACCAAGAAGCTATGACCCAAAAAATGTGATTGGCAGATGACCGTTGATATATGATTGGCCAAATTTAGGTGTACAAGCTGACGTATAACTAACTGGCCTGCATAGCAAAGCAAAAAAAATAAAAAATAACTGATATTAAGACAGGATTTTTTTAAGAAGAAATGTTCTAAATTTTGGGACAATATCATCTGATAAAGAGTAAATGTATATACATGTTTAGGCCAGAAAGATTTGACATTTAAACATGACTTCCGTACGACTTTAAGGATGCCGACCTGCTAGTAAAGTGAATCTACAATATTTGTTTGGACAGCATCACCGCCTCACCAGCACAATTCTAATAGATGCTGGAAAAAAGTAAAACAATTCATCTTTTCATCCCCACCTATGCATCCTTCATCATCCAAAAATGTACGAGACTTTAGGACTTTTCTCCTCTTCCTTATTTTGGTTTCAGAGCTCGCCTGTTAAAAAAATAAACAAGAGAAATGGAAGGTCCATTAGAAAAACATTCACTTTATCTGTGATTTTTAATGAATGATCCAATGTTATCACTCACATGTGAAGGCCTGACAGCCTCTGGCTCCTTTTCAGGACTTTTCTCCTTTGTTTTCAGCTGAGGAGGAGAATCTGGAATAACTAGAAAAAGACGAACATCAGAAGGCTGGTTTTCAGCCTCTCCTTAATCTAAAGGTGAGGTTAAAAAAAACGTAATATCCTCCATTAATTGGAAAAAAAAAAAAAAAACAACTGACCATCTTCATCACTGCTGTCTGGTTCTGGTCTCTTGATCCTTCGTCTCTTTTTTTTCTCCATTATCTCCTCCTCACTATCAGACACTTCGGTTCGCTTTGTTTTGCTTTTATGAAAAAGTTGAACAAGGATGGATGGATAAAAGATATAAAACACTGATATTACCAATGCATATCGAATCCACAGCTTCCTTCATTAGCATGAAATATATCAGAGTAATGATCTGATGGGAGCCGCTCTGTGAAGACCAACCTCCTAGAGTCGCTCTTTGTTTCCTTGTGCGATTGCATGGCTGCAGGTTCTTGTTCTTCCTCTGGTGCCGTTCTCTGATGCTGCTGCTCCAATGCGACCACCTCCTCCTCCTTCTTCGCTGGTTTGTCAGGTTTTTCTATAGAAGTGACAAAAATTACTTTAGTTCATTCATATAGCTTCAAATCAGAACAAATTTAATCTACATGTTTTTCAGAAGACAAAGCAAATCAAGTTTATACACAAATAAAGAATCCAATAAAACAGTGATCTCCAATTAAAGAAAGAAGCCGATTGCATTAAGAGAAATCTGTAAATAATAAAAATCTTAAATGGCAAAAGGTGATATTTTTAAGTCTTAAATCTAGAAAAAAAACCTTGATTTAGAAAAAAAAAAAAAAAATGTGCCACTTTTAAAATTCTATAGAAACAATGCTAGAATCACAACCGGCGTTGCTTTCGTCGACAATGACAAAATTATTTAATTGAACCTCCTTTTTTTCAGAACCATAATGAAAACTGACGAGCTAAACGTGGATATCTGATGACAAAAACATGGCGAGTCATGGGTTTGAGTTTTCGCTAACAGAACGAGAATAAATAAAAATGTTAGCGGGAGCTCGGGGAGACATTTAAAATGCATCATTGTGCTGTAATCTGCTAGACATGCTAAGCAGTATCAGCCGTGGTGCTGCATCCTGTTTGGTCATGCAGCCCAACTGGCGTGCAGTGGTGCACAACCTGCATGACAACAAATAGATTATGGCAGCAGCGGCAGGGGTGAAAATAACCCGGACTGGTCCGGTACTGTGCGCTCAACTCTGATAAACTCTGCCCTTCCAAATGTGCTTTTGCAGAAATGCGTCTTAGCATGCACGTAGCTCAGAGTCTGCGCTTTATGCTCCACACTGATGGTTCACTCTCAGCAGAATGGCTCTTGCTGCCCTCGCTGCTTAATAAACTACATGTGGCTGATCCTCCTCTGCCAAGCGTAAAGAATCCTTTTGTCTAACTATCAAGATTTTATTTCTTCCAGCTCACAAGAGGTGATGCTAAACATTCTTTAATTTCTACCTAAATTATATTCAAAGCAAATATTTTATTGCATATTGTTTTGGGGTTTTAAAGACCCAGATGAATAGGTATCTATCTTTGAATATTTCTCTCTCATTGTTCTTGTTTCAATCTATTTAAATATGATGTAAATGTTTCCTTGAATTGTCATTAAAACATTTTCTGTGTTTCCCTTGAATATGTCAACATTTACATAGTGAAATTTGGGTCCGGGTGCAATGGTAGTATAGGGCAATAATGTAGGATTTCTGTGTAATCGTTCATATCAGAACCCTGTGAATTTAAACCTTCTTTGACCCCTGAGCAGTGATAACAAAGGGGAAATTCTCAGAAATAAAGCCAAAATTGTAGATAAGTAGAAAGAAGAATGTTTTTGTTCTTTGTTTCTTTAAGTATTGAAGATTTTATTGATCTGTGTGTTTTACATAATTCATAGATCAGGAAGTGTTTGCTTTTGAATGGAAACCTTCTATGTCTAAAACCATTCCTTTATTGGACATTTTGTTAGCTTGACTGTCTGCTATATTAACCAATATGATGTGCTGAACTAGATCTGCTATTTTCACAACTTTTGTGAGACACTTTTGTATAAAGTAGGAAATTAATGCATTAAAAAAAATTATTGTAATTCTAGAAATTAGTTTTCTGCTGAACAGCAATAATGAACTGCACAACAGCATTCTATACCAGTCAGTCTGGTAAAGAAGCTGGTTATTATTTGAAATTGTAAAGTTTAGCTGTTTTATAAAGTGCAACATAAAACTGACTTAAACTTTCACATATTGTAATGACTAAAATGCGACTAAAATTAAGAATAGTTTCTGCCCTGTAAACAAAAAATAAGTTCCGCATTATCACCCTAACCTTCTGCTGCTTTCACTTCAAAATGTTGCTGTTGCTTCCATATTTTTCTAATATTGAAGGATTAACTTAAACCGAAATCTCTCATAAGCATGGACATTTCCAACTTGAAAATGATGATAAATAGGACCAGGCTAGAGATTTTTCCCCTTCTATTTTGAGAATAAAGTCATAAAATTAAGAGAATAAAGTCCTAAAATTATGAGAAATGAGTTATATTTTACGAAAACTCTTACATGAAGCATTTTCTTCCCTAAAATGGGTAATATCGAGCATTATGTGAAGTTATACTTTGGCTGTGGTTTAACAAATAAGGAAATGTTTTAGCACCAGCATCAAATTAGCTCGGATGTCAAAGTGGACCCAGGTTGTGGTTTGGTGGAGCTGGTCAGCCATCATACACTGATCGGAGCTCGAAGGTTTCTTTCTCAAATGGGTTCTTGTAATATTACCACTTATTTCTCGTAATGTTACAACTTTATTCTCAAAATAAATAATGGCCCTAATACTCTGTTGCAGAAGATAAAGTCCAGAAATACATTTTAATACATTTTATACATTTTTTTTACTCAGTAAACTAACGCTACGTTCAGACCGCAAGCAGCAGGGGCAGCAGAAGCAGCTGGTTTACACGCGAAGTCAATGGTTGATGCGAGTCAAAGAGCAGCAAAAGGTCCCACAGCGCCTTTCAGGCAGCATCATGAGTTTTAGAGCATCTGACACGTGTAATTTAGAAGCAGCAGCTGCTGGAGTTCGAAAAATTGAACTTTTGCTGATCAACGTGCTGATCTTGGAGCTGGCAGGGAGACAGACACAGCACTGCTGATGCAGATCGCTTTGATCACTCTCCTGAAACATAACGCCAAAAGTAACTTAAAATGTCTAATGCCACGAACAATAGTGAAAAAAACGCAAAGAGGCGACCGGGTCAGAGGATGCCATAGAAAGGGATTCCAAAATGACAGTGTACGGGGGTCTTAGCGGCTCCGACAGCTAGATAATATTTAAAGGCAATATCGTAATCTTGATGAACTGACTGAACACATGAAGTTCTGAGGTGGACTTTCTCACTTAAAAACATATTAAAACTTATTTTTTGACCCACTGATAACAGGAAATATAGCTGCCTGATTGTTACAGGAAAAGAAAGGATTGGTCCTGCTGCTTACGGTGTGAAAGTAGCATTAGCCATGTTGAATGCTTTTCAACATTACAGGGGACTGCTGCATATAACCAGTAATGTAACTTACTTGTCTGAGTTCCAAAGAAGTTGGCCACTGGATTAGACTTCAATGCTTGTTTGCTTTTCACTGCCTCTGTCTGAAAGACAAAAGAGAAACATCTAGAACTTGACTTTTCAGTAAAAACAGCTGCCTATAAGCAACAAAGGTCATACCACAGAGGAGGATTCTTCTTTTTGTTCAGATTTCACTTCTTTGCTGTTATCCTGGCTTTTGGGAGCAGATTTATTTGCAAACATTCCCATGATGCCTTTCTGCGGTTTACTTGAGGGTTTGGATGCCGTACTGGAGTTCCCGTTCGTTACAGAGGTTTTGCTCTCAGGCACGGGTGGAGGAGCTCGCTGAACATCCTGGAACTGCTGCAGCTCTGCAGCCGACATGGGCACCGCATTGGTGCATCGGATGGAGCTGTATCTATAAGAGAGACAGCCAAAAAGTTTTCCTCAGCTTAATTGATTAAAATCAGCAGATGTCTCTTTGTGGTAACAGCAAACATACTTGCTGCAGTTCTTCAGGTTGTCTTTGACAGCATCATAGTCGACACTGTAGAGGGGGCCGCTGTCTTTGAGCAAAGCTTTCTGCACGCTGTAGACGTGAACGCTTACGATCAAGCTCATCTTAGATTTAAAATCTGCAGAGGAAAACAGATGTTAATCAAATAAAGTGCCAGGAAAATGGTCTATTTATCCAAGTTCTTGGAATAAAATAAACAAAGAGCGAACAGAGATGTCATATTTACAAACCTTCCAACTGGTCCTCTCTGACTAGAGACACGTGGTGACACTAAAAAGAAGAGAAGAGAACTTGAAAACGTTATTTCTTGCTTTTTAACAAGATGCCTTAAGCATCCGAGGAGTTCCTCTTACTCACAGTTTGACCATTTCCCTCCAGCTTTCCAGACACGAGGTAGGTGGCGTGGAGCTGAGGTGAGCTCTCCTTCCTCTTGTGCTCCAGATAGTGGTAAAGCATCCTGAAAACCCATTTTACATACATTTATCTTGGGAAATTTCACACCCAGCAGCTTATTCTCATTTCAGTGGAGACGACTTCAAACAGAAGGCAGGAAGGAATCTCAGTCCCAGTTCAAAAAAGCCTTGAGGGGCTTGATGCTGCAGGCAGCTTTTCCTTCTCTGTAGAACCCCACATTCATCCACCCTGAGTTTCTACAGCTAAACAACTTTTTTTTTTTTTTTTACATTAACAAAGATTGTAAATTTGCATAAACTTGAACTTAAAAGTATATTTTTTGACACTTTGAGCCTTTATTTTATTGCTTTAGAAATTAGGCAGACATGAAATGGGGTTATGGAGAGTGGGGAGATGTAGACAAAAGGTGGACAGATCAGGACTGGAACCTTCAACGCACGACAATGACCAAAGCCTCCTAAAATGTGTCATATACTTAACCCCTGCACCGCCGAGCCCATATACACTTGAATTTAAGTGTTCTTCTTAACCCTGTCTAAGAACTTGTACACGAATGGATCCATTTCAGTGATAAACATCTAAAACTTTCCCTTTTGTCACAAATTATGCTTGTTCATAGGTCACTAAAAGGAATTTTGCAGGATGATAAATTATTCCAGTAATTATTCTGATTTTGAGTTTTTTTTTTCTTGTTTGTTCTATATTCAATAACCAGTGAAATGTCTATATATTAGTGCTGTCAATCGATTAAATTTTTTTAATC